AAATCTCATGAGTCTGATAAGAAAAATAAAATGTTATAGGGCTTGAGAGGAGGGAGTTGGCACTGAGGGGGCTGGGACAGCTTCCAGAAGGAAGAAGATTTTGTGCTGAGCCTTCCGTATAGTTAAGAAGGTGGGAGGGCAGGGGCGGAGGGCTGGGGTCAGTTGGTGCCGCAGCTGCATGTTCCAGATGGAGCAAACAGCATGAGCAACACCCTGCAGATGTGAGGGAGGACTCAGGGGCACGTGAGAGGGGCTGAGGCTGGGAGCTGGAAGGGGTGCTCGTGTGCCCAGCTCACGACCTGCTCATCCCTCTGCTCTGGGACCGAGATCTGAAATAAACAAGCCTCAGAGACGGGAATTTCCTGGGAGCCCAAACAAAGAGGCACATGCTTTTGAAACAGAAAAAGAAGATAGAGGGGGTTGCTGATAGAAGGCAGCTGGGCTCCTGGAAGGAGAGTGTCCCCTCGCTTGGCCACGTGAGCTGTCGAACAAGGACAGCAGGTGTTATCACACAACAGACAAAGCAACCAGTTCAGGTTAGTGGTTTTTGGTTTTCCAATAAACCAAAACTAACCAGAGGCACTCAGCTGTAGGAAGACTGAGACTTCCTAGAGCCTGGGCCTTTGCCTTCCAAGAGTGAAAAGGGAAACCACAGGAGGCAAGGAATCTTTGGAAGCCAACACACTGGTGTTTTTCTCATGCACAGACCCACACCTCAAGACAGAAGCAAGACACGGGTTCCAGAAGGGACTGAGAAGGGCTCCTAGCCATGAAACTAGCTCAGTTCTCTCTCAAAACTAAGTCTGAGTAGTCAGCTCTAGTTTCCAATCCAAATGGTCTAAGGATGACGGATCCAAAGGCAAGTGCTAGAGAGATTTCTAAGGAACCATCTAAGAATGGAGGCCTGACGCGATCTACGTATCAGTAGAGACCGGGGCCAACAAACAGGAAAACTTTGGGATATATATTAAACCGCTGTATCATTTATCAGCATTTATCTTTTTTATTAACTCCATGTGACTTTAAAATAATGAACAGGAAATCTCTGAATAAAAATATGGTTCATAATTGCTTTAGGGAATGAGCAAGAACAGGAGGATGGTAGGCACTGCCTCTGAGACCTCTATTTCCAGAACTCTGGTCCACCCTCCACCATTGCGTCAGATTTGCCTGGCTGCCCAACAAAAGGCATCATAGTCTGAGTGAGGGGCCTGGAATATGACCCTTTGTCAAGGGCCTCAAGCAGATCTTGGGCAGACTACAATTGAAAACCAATCCTTTAACTTCGTGGGTAAAGGATGCAATTAGGTAGAAAGGAAACAATAGCTGGAAAAAATGGAGAGAATCTTGTGATGGTTAATTTAATATGCCAACTTGGCTGGACCATGGGGGCCTAGATAACTGACCAAACACTATTCTGGATGCTTCTATGATAGTGTTTTTGGGTGAGATTAACATTTAAACCGGTGGACTTAGAATAAAGCAGACTGCCTTCCATGAGGGTGGGCCTCATCCAGTCAGTTGAGGTTCAAACAGAAGAAAACGCTGACCTCTCTGAGCAAGAGGAATTCTGCCAGGGGATGGCCTTCAGATTTCATCTGCAACATCAGCTCTTCCTGGCTCCCCAGCAGACGGCCTCTGTGCTAGAACTGCAACCCACCAGCTTCTTCCATCATCCCATCAGAGCGTGGACTCCCCAGGACTCCCCAGTGAGTGGAGCCACAGTGAACCCATTCCTTAAAATAAATCTCCTTATTGATTTATATGTGTGTGTGTATATAATAATAAAATCATATATACACAAATTTTATATTTATATACACATATATACATTACATATATACATATACAGCGATATATTATATATATAGAGAGAGAAATGTATAGCCATATCCTATTGGTTCTATTTCTCTGGAAAACCCTGATTAATACACAAATCTTGCCTTTGAAAGACAGGGTCATGGAAACTATCTGGATCTAAAGAAGACTTAAGGCCCACACCAGCCAAGAGCCCTGACACTTACCTGTAAGTTAATTAAGGAATCATCAAATAGGCAGCAGCCAACCTTGGTGACAAAGTTCAAAAAGTAGCGGCCAACAATCCATTTTTTGTCATAAAGAGAAGAAAAGATCAGAATCAACCCTTGCAACAGAAGCAGTTTTCAGAGAGAGCGAGCTCCCTGTGGTGCTACAGTAAACCCTTGAAAAAAATCTCCGCAGGTCAGCAAGCTATCTGGACAGCAAGGGAAGGCTTTATCACAAACCGCCCACGCCTGGGAGCTGTGACCCATCCTCTGGCCAAAGCCCGTCTGACAAAAGAGAAATGAGTTCCACTACCAAATGAGGGTCATGAGGAAGTAACGGATTGCTTTTTATTTTGATGGGTGAGCCAATAAAAAGATACAGAAATGATTAGAAACAATAAAATTAAACCACCAAATACAGTTCTTTCTGTTTTGTACTATGGAGCCAATTCTTGCATTAGGTAGAAGGCTGAACTACGTAACTTCTCATCTTAAGAAACAGTAAAAAGAGAGAAACATGCCAGCAAACTACTCCTAAGTCACCACAACAGCCGTGACAGCAGTCACGGAAAGCCCCGGGGCTCAAGGCGATACAGAAAAGACGGCCTGCCTTTCCATTCCCACTCCTGCCATGGATGGCTCAACTCCCACCATCTCTTTGTGATCTGCAAGACTGGCTTCCAGACGTTTCTCTCCAAGATAACAGTGTGGTAGGTCTATAAATGGCCCCAGTAATTCCAGCCTAATCCCTGGCTTAAAGTCACCAGAGGTAATTACAGTGTCTCAGACAAGACAACCGGCCATAATTTCCTTAAATTCACTGCAGGCCTTGACAGATCAATGACAGCGGAGACTCCGCACTTTGGAGGCACCTGGTGCGGCGCTCGGAGGTGGGGGCAGAGGGCGGTGGTGTTGTCTCAGGGCGGGGCACTCGGAGCTCTTCACAGGAGCTGGTACCCACAATGAAGCCGCGCTGAAACTAGCACAGTTGCTAAGGCTTTTGGGTCTTCTTTTTGTGGAAAAAACAAAGCACTCTGGCAATGTTTGCCAAGTAACCTGGTGGGTGCTAAATACTTCCACCATCTTTTCTGTGAGTCCATTCTCAGCCACCAGGCAGACCCTCGTAGCTGCAGCCTCTCATTCATGCAGATGGGACCCACGGGCGGGCTGCATGCCACCAATATTCATGTTTTAAGACAACACTGCGACTGCTTCTCGGATGGAAAGTTTCCCCAGAGAGTCATCTGTTATAAGAGGAAACCTTCTAGGAATCTTAGCCACCTCATCCGTCCAAAATTCCCAGAACAGCCCTCGTTTCCTCGGTTAAGGCATCTCTCTTTCACCAAGATGAGCTTTCTGAGAACGAACCGGGCCACGGAAGTGTTCACTGGGAATAGTACGAGTGACTTTGTGGGAGACCCACTCAGAAGGCCTGGCGCTCCCCCGCCTCGAGCGGCTGCCTTCCCCCAGCCCACACCCCTCCCTTCTAGAACCTCCTTATCAAACGAGCTCCCCACCGCTGACATCGTTCCGCACGCGTTTGCACCTCCTTAGCCTTCACGGTCACAGGAGAACCCTCAGCTTCCTTTACCTTATTTTTTCCCCATAAGTTGGTAAATAAAGCTTCCCTCAGGAAAGAAAGAGGCAGGTCCTCACTGGCCAAGACGGAAAACAAAGCCCACGGGGGAGGCTTGCGAAAAGAATCCCGCGCTTGCCCTCCCGACTGCACGCCAGTCACTCTCCCTTCCCGCGGGCGCTGGGCTTTGGCTTTGGCTCACATTTGTGTTTCTTTTCGAAGACGTAGCAGAGATGCTCGTCCCTGCTGCCTTCCGGGTTCCTGACCACACTCTGCCCCCTACAGGAGACGTCTAATTAGAAAACGGTTCGTTCAAGCCACTGCAACGTTACACCTGAGACATCAAAATCACGGGCTGTCCAAGCCAGCATGAGCTGCCCCTGCACGTGTCTTCCAGCTGCCCTGTGGTCGGTGAGCCCCAGCCCTTTCACTTGTCCAGGTTCACATCACTAGTCCCAAACGTGCTGACATGACCACTGGAAGATGTCACCAAAGAAAATGTCCTTGTGCCACCCTTCTTCACGTCAGTCTAAAACAAATCATACTCTGGGAATTTGAGGAAACCACTTTCACATAACATGAACCCAGGTGGAAATATGTGTAGAACTGGGGCGAGTGGCTGGAGGAAAGGATGCAGGAGTTGGATGTAGCAAGTGGTGAGAGGGATGGACATCCCAGAATGGAACGGGCCACCTTGTAAGGTGCAGAGTGCCCCAGCTCACTCTGCTCAGGGCAGGGGGGCCCTGGACTCCATCTGCCAGAACTGTTCTAAGGAAGCCCTAGACCGATGGAGATTGGCCTCAGTGATGGCTGGTCCTTTGCTGGTGCGACTCCTGCACCCCGTCACTCAGGACATGTTCTTGGCCCCTGGCCCACACCCACGTGACCTCAGCTGCTAAGAAGAGGCAGGGACAGGGCTCAAGTCTGGTCTGCAAAGGTCAGGAACAGCGAGTCGGCCTTCAAGTCCCTGCCTCTTCTCCGCTCCTTCACCTACTTTTCTCTTACTTCCACAGCTCCTTTGTCAGCCTTGGAGAAAGGCGGAGTCTAAGGAGGGAACTAGGTCACAACTGGGAAACAGATGACTCTGTCTTACCTTCCCTTTCTTCCATTTCTCTTGATTCTGCTAACAGATACGCCCATAACTTCTTCTCCCAAAATCTCTACCTCTACCAAAGCAAGAAGGCCTAGCACTGCCCGAATGTATTTAATTTACTTCAGAAATTACATGGAGATTTATAGATCTATACATTGCATACAAACATATAATTGAAACCAGAAATTCAGGGGGATTTTTAGCAAATATACTTGTTCTGTCCCCTTTCATCCTTGAGGCGTGTCTATACATGTCAATACATACTTATGCAAATATGTATCTTGAAAGCTCCCAGGTGTCCCCTTACCTCTGATGGCTTCGTGGTGCATCTTCCTTTTCCAGAACACTCCAAGTCACTTGCATGGCCGTCCCCCCGCACACAGGTGCTGGCCTTCACCACCAGAGTTAAGCGCAAAGCCACAATAGATTTAGTAACAGAGTCATTCACAAAACCTAAAAGAAAATGAAACAATAGGAAATGTAAAGCTGGACCAACACTCTTTTTTCAAGACTCTGAGTACAGCTGACACAATATTCAAGTTTGGCAAACAAAACAAAATGCAGTAAGTGAGGTCAAGGAGTCAGGCACGTGGCTAGCAGCCATTCCGACCTTCAGGCTTTAAGCTGGGCCACTCTTTGCAGGCATCATGAGGAACGCCTGACGCCACGGAAAAGGAGTGCCAGGCACCCCATCATCACCTTACATGCTTGCTTTGGTCCTGCTCCTGCCCTCTGGGGCCGCTCTGTCCTTCAATTCCATCCCCGCATCAGCATCTTAGAATTCTCCCTGCTGCTGAACCCGTCTTTCCCCCGGAGCACTTGCTTGCACCTCCCAGCTCGTCCTCCTCCTGGCTACACGGGATGCCCACAAGCACTGACTCCCCCAAAGGCCACACCCAGCTGCCGGCCGGCCTGAGCAGCTCAGGGCATGCAATGTGGGTACACATTCTATGCTGGGTTTATTAATAAATATCTTACTTGGTCACCAGTCTGACTGCACAAAATCTACTGAAGTTATGTGGTTTTAACCATCTAATAAGACAGGACCAGTTGCAGTTGATCACTGATTGCAACAGCACTGCTGTGTCGTAGTCACCTCTGAGTCACTTTTATGACCAGTGCAGCTATTTATACATAGTAGGTGGCAATAAATATGGAATAAATAGTCACCTCCAACTGAAATCAGGAAATAATGCTGTAAGTATTTTGCATCGATGACATATAATTATTTCACTAAGTGAGTATACCTTTTTCTAATACGAATATTCGTTTCTTTAAGTACAATTTTTAATTTCAAAATAAACAACTCCATCATCATCGAAAAAGACTCCTGTATTACCCAGAAAAGGTGCTTAAGACAAGGGAGTGACAATGATTCCAGACAACCATGCCTCTCCACACCCCAACTTTCTCCTGTAAGTTAGGAAAACAACCCCTAAATAGGGTGAACACAGACTTTATCATCAAAACTAGGACTTTTTTTCACATCAAAAAGAGTGCTTTTGATGATGACAACTGGACAAGACATAAAGTGAGACTGTCTTGGCAACGGGGCAACATGATCATCTCATGCCTGGGGGAGCATCCAGGGACAAGGAGTCTGCAAAGTGCCAGGCACTACGTTAGTGCAAGGAATGTTTTTAGCAGGCAGAAGATGGGTTCGGAACAGCAGCATAAGATTTAATTCCATATAAATTGGTGCAGCCACTATGAAAAACAGTATAATGTTCCTTAAAAAATTAAAAATAAAATTACCAAATGATTGAGGAATTCCATTCCTGGGCTTATATCCAGAGAAAACTCTAATTTGAAAAGACACATGTGCCCCAATGTTCACAGAAGCACTGTTTACAATAGCCAAGACATGGGAGCAACCAAAATGTCCATCCACAGATAACTGGATAAAGAAGATGCGGTATATCCGTACAATGGAATACTACTCGGTCATAAAAAAGAATGAAATAATGCCATTTGCAGCAACATGGATGGACCTAGAGATTACCGTACTACGTGAAGTCAGACAGAGACAGATAAATACCATATAATATCACTTACATGTGAAATCTTAAAAAAGATACAAATGAGCTTATTTACAAAACAGAAACAGACTCACAGATAGAGAAAACAAGCTTAATGTTACCAAAGGGGAAATGGGGGAGTAATAAATTAGAAGTATGGGATTAACAGATACAAACTACTATATGTAAAATAGATAAACAGCAAGGTCCTACTTTATAGCACAGGAAACTATATTCAATATCTTGTAATAGCTCATAATGGAAAAGAATCTGAAAGAGTGTATATATATGTATATAATTGGATCCCTTTGCCATATGCCAGAAACTAATGCAGCATTGTAAAATCAAGTATCTTTCAATTAAAAAAAATCTAATTTCATTCACAAGCATCAGGTTAAGTTGGGAAATTCATGCAAGCTGGAGTGCACTGGAGACATACTTCAACTTCAAGTTTGGAATTAGGAGCCAAATGTGTCTTGGTATCACAGTAACAGTAGGTACAGGGGGTCTGACATGGACTGGAACCTCACATCCACAGAGAACTAGCCGCCTTCTTTCTAAGATTGCCTACTGAAAATTCCATGGCAAATTGGCTTTGGGACAAAAGGAAAAGGACGGTTTAGGCAAACACACCTCCTCTGTCAAGCTTTCTACTTCTCAGTCACAGCCCCACATTATGAAGACACCTCACAACTCCTCCAGCGCCTTCAAATGTCCTGCTCACCCACGCTCTGCAAATGCTCCCGTGGAGCTGCTTTGCCTCAAATATGCCTCCTTGTCCCCTTATCAGAGCTCAGCTCTCACCCTGTTCATGAGGCTTCCCGCAATTCCCAGCCCCCTCCAGCTCTACCATGTCCCTCTGTGCTCAGGAACGGACTGCCACGTCCCGGTCCCTGGTTATTTTATGTCTTGGATGGCTTCTTGCCAAACCACCTCCACTGAAGCTTCCTTGATGGCAATGGACAAGTCTCAGAGAGGTGGCAAGTAGGAATTCAGGACACATACTTATATGACCAGAGCAGCTAAGACAGTTCCCAAAGAGGAGTTTCCAGAATGCGCTGTCATCCAACAAACCCACTTGGATGAACAGCCATCATTAGAACGCATAAATTCCAGTTTACTAAAATAAAAAAGAAATATATTGCTTATCAACTTTGATGGAGAAATACAGCCTGGTACAATGCAGGGGTGCTGCCAGAATCCTTATTCTCAAAGATGCTTTTACACATAAAACAATGGAGGTAAAATCAGATAGTAATTATAAAGGTATCTTTGATATCTTTGCTTTTCTTTAGTTATTCTAAAAATCTATATCACCTGTCTCCATACTCAGCATTTAGATCACGGAACACTCTACAATTCTCCAAAAGAGACCTCTCTCCAAGGGTTATTTTAAAAATTCTATTCGACTATTAAATTAACTAGCCAGTAGACATTTAAATGAATGAGTAGCTAAAAATATGCACAATATAGTTTTTTAAGTAGTTAGCTTCCCTTGCCTCAATGAACATTTCCTGCACTCACTTAGACAAACCAGGCGTAGTATTTATTAGATTCTAAGGTTACAAAGAGGAGTCGCCTTTGATTTCTGCCGCTTCCAACTTTCAGCCAGGAGCGGTGGTCCTCACTAGTTTTGAAACCAGAAGCTTCATAATGTTGCAGGGGCTTTTTCCAAGTGTGGATTTCCAGGCTCCAACATAAGTAATTCAGTATCAATAGTCTGGGTTGGGTATTT